TCCATTACCATCCCACCATCGAAACAATGTGGATGAGAAGCAAACCTTTTTGTGATTTCTCCTACAGTATGTACAGTATACATGCTCTACTATCATCAAATGAGATACAGAAAAGGGACACCCCCCTCCCCCCTTCTACAATCCAGGGACGTAAGCAGTATTGAAGTGCAAATTACATTGTTAACATTAATTTTTTCAGTGACCATCTTAGAGGTGTCTTACATATCTGCAGCTATGAACAAATGACACCTCATATTTGGGCGGGTCTGGATCTATTACTGTATGTGCTTGCTGTCAGTAAGTAACCGTGCTGTTCAGGGATGATAGTAAAAGCATCTTGCTATGCTTCTTGATGTAAATCTTTGCAATGCACTGTAAGTGATCCTGGATTAGGGCACTGTCCGACTTTTGCAAAGCTTGCTCAAGAAGTGACATAAGAAAAAGGATGCATGTTCTTAACATTTGTTATTTATCACACAATAAGGGCATTTGTGAGGTTCAGTAAAATTATCAGGCAATTGACAAAAAATGGCTGATATATGACAATATTATACTTTTCCTTTACACTCATTTTTAATAAATGAAGACATTGAGAATTCATACTGGGTTGTATCCCAAGATCTAGGACCCCTAGTCCAGAGTATGCACATTCTGGGAGTGGGTACTTGGTTTCCCTTCACCTTATGGAAGCTAACATAACAGAGGTGAGGACCTGCCAGAAGTTATATTCTTCCAAGAGTATTTGTTGTTACTTGTGCCCACCCTGGGGAACTGTCACCTACCTGCTGAGTCTAGGACTCAAGGCAACAGGTGTCCTTCCAGAGGAGCCTTCATTTTATTTTTTACTTGACCCCTCTAAAATCAGAGTCCTTTGCTAAGATCAGGACTTGGCTACAATATGAATATCATTCTTCAAATAATTGTATTGTGAAAGCTGGTCTTTTACCTGCTTGCTTACAGTATTTTAGTAGCGTGCTTCAACCTTACTTACTCTTTATTGTGTCAGTAGAATTGAACAACTTTATTGTATTTTTGATTATTAAATAACTGCCAGGCAGCTGTGCAATGTACTGGACTGTCTGTTGCGTGGCTTGTTGACCTTTGTTTTAGCCATATGAGGAATGCTTGTGATTACTTGCTCACCCGCTCTCAGCCCATTTTTTGAATGAATATCTCTCATGAATGTATTTTCCTAAGTGTTAAAAGTTTAACATGGCCAGAGGTTACTGAAAATATTGCAACACTGTAGGTCTGCAGAGAGTGACTGAAGACCTGAAGAAATAAATTAAGAAGAAATAATGTGTAAACATCTTTGTTTACACTTCTGTGTAGCTAGTAAATATGTTGAACATTGTGAGCATTGTTTTAATATTTTCTGAAAAGGGTTCAATGTTGAGTCATGGTTTGATTTGATTTTTTCATCAAAGACATGCAATGTAGTATCAGATACAGAATGTACTGTATATCAAGTAAGTATATGACATTATTCAGCATGAATATAATTATTTCTGTATTTATTATGGTGGATAAAGATATTATGGAAGAAAGACAAGTTCTCACAGATGTATATTTCTTTGATGTTTAAAGAGATAAAAAAAAGCTTGGCTTCTTTTCTGAATGAAGCTCAGATACACAGCCTCTAGTTTCTGTGATGAATTCTGTGAAGGCAAAGAGAAATAAAACACCCAGGGGAGAAGCACCGATTATTTTCCAGAACTGTTTGACGATGCTCAGCAGGCAACCTCATTTCCCTCAACACCCACTCACAAGAGGCACCATTTGTCTATGAAATGAAAAGAAAGAGCAAAGCAAATCTCAGTTTAAAGAACCTGCTTCCCTTAGAAAGCGGTATCTGTAAAAGACATAATGTTGCATTATATTTCTTCTGAGATTAACTGACAAATTCAATTTACCAGACATTTTTAAAAGTAATTGTAAATAACCTTTACACAGTGTGCTTTGTAACCTGAGATTGTTGTAGGAAACCATTTGCTTGAAATTGATGTCACTAATGGGAGTTAATAAATTAGTAGAAGACTAAATAGATTTTTAAAATATATATCTTGTGAATAATCATTTTCTTCATGATACCAAATATAGTAGAAATGGGAAGGAAACCTAGAGATGTATATTGCCTCACTATAGAGATGCTGTATTATTGATGGAGTAATTTCTGATCTCGCTGTATTATAAGAATTGTTGTACTTGGTTTCTTCTTTACTGTATATTTTCATTCCTTTTATGGTTGGTTGGTACTGTAGGTAGGTTAGGTCCCTTTTTCAGGCCATAAAGACCCATGGGGGAATGGGGGGGGCAAGGGCCAGGATTTTTCTCAACCATTCAACACTAGAGATGGAGGTGATGTGGTCAGCATCATGCTCCAGTCAGCATATTACCCCCAAATAGATTAACCCCCAGTACTCATTTGGGAAGCAGGGTGAGTGGACCTGGGAGCCCTCTGGAAGAGTTAGAGCAAGCTACATCACTTGCCCCTAACTGGGACTAAACCCTGGATCTTTCAGTTAGGAGCTAGATGTCCTTGCTGTCTGAACGACAATGGCAGATGAGAAAATATAACAGATGAAAATGTCCGATCATTATAAGAGTAGGTCATTCACACTATCGGAACTCAGTATTCTCCTATACACTAAGTACAGTATAAATCTTGCATTTCTTCTATATTATTCTTAAGCAGAGAAAAGCCCAAACACTGATATTGGCAATACTATTCTCCCACTGCCCAAACCAGATGTTGTTCCTCTTAATATTGTTCTCTACATATTATGTCTGAACCTATTTTGAAGCCAGCTACATGAAAAATAATATGGAATTTTTCATAACAATTATGTCTTTATCTGTTTGACAGCTGTTTTCTTCTGTTGAAGGATATATATATACTTTTCCAGGAATATCTCCATAAAATATTGTTCTGATCCTTTTTCATTTCACTACCCACATGGACCGCGCTCACCCTGCGGTCCATGTGGGTCCTAATGCCCCAGTATAGTGACGGGGACACTATACTGTAAACAGGCGCCGTCCTTCGGATGAGACATAAAACCGAGGTCCTGACTTTCTGTGGTCATTAAAAATCCCAGGGCGTTTCTCGTAAAGAGTAGGGGTGTAACCCCGGCGTCCTGGCCAAATTTCCCATTGGCCCTTACCAATCATGGCCTCCTAATAATCCCCATCTATGAATAGGCTTCATTACTCTGGTCTCCACTGATAGCTGGTGTGTGGTGAGCGTTCTGGCGCACTATGGCTGCCGTCGCATCATCCAGGTGGATGCTGCACATTGGTGGTGGTGGAGGGGAGTCCCCATTACCTGTAAAGCGCTTTGAGTGGAGTGTCCAGAAAAGCGCTATATAAATGTAAGCAATTATTATTATTATTACTACACTAATAGTAGCTTCAATATTTAGATTTTTCAATTAGGTTGAATGTGAATAATATTTCAATCACAGAGCCCAAGTAAAGTGGGCTTTACTTAAAGCATTATTTGCTATTTTCTATTACAAATTGGAGGACTGTGTACCCTGATTATTTAAAAATAAAAGTTGATGCTATTATAATATTATAAGGTTCAAAACTGAAAAAAAGATGTCCAGTGTATTTCTTTTTTGATAAGTCTTCTAGGCAACATGTACCTGCATACTATAAGTACTTACAATTTAATACTGTTAGAATTAGCATTGCCAAGTCTTACATTAGGAATCAAGATAATAAAAAAATCCCTTAACAGTTAAATTGATGTAAGTGATCTGTAGCAAGTACTCCAGTTAGCGTGTTGTTAATGGGGGTCTATGGGCTTTGAATCATGAAGCAAAGTACACGAGTGTGCTAATTTTGATATCTATATATTCAATGGATTGAAAGCAACCTTGCCAAAAGTAGGGCAGAAGTGATATAGCAACATGCCAGATATATTCAGCTGCTCTTTACTATTCTTTTTATTTTTTTATGACAACCTGACCTTGAAAGAAGAAATGTTGCAGACTGGTTTTATTGAAGCCAAAATTGCTTCCTAAGTGCTGCTTTCAAACACTGAGTTTTTGTTTCAATGCTCATGTTTACTATGTTCTGTTCTTTTCAACAACTTCCATCAACCATAGAATAGATACTAAGAACATACTGTTTCCTGTTGACAATATAATTATTAATTATGATAGATACTTACAATTTAGTTGTAGCTGTGATGTTAATGTTAATATAATATAAGGATTATATATATATATCAATGGTTCCTAATCCAGGTCTGGGGGACCACTGTGTTTGTAGTGATTTTGTTGGTAGACTGATTACTATAATTGATCAGCTTGCTCATTTAGACATTCTCAGAGGTCCCACTGGTTAAATTTCAGGCAACACACCTGACTGAAGAAGGTTCTGAAACTCAGAATCCCATTTGATCTTCTAAAACTGAAAACAAATTAAAAATTGTGTCCCAGATAAAATGTTGAAATCAATTATCCTGTGATTAAGAACTTTAAGAAAAAAAAACACAGAAGAAATAGTAGATTCCTTGGGTTGAGAACCACTTGTATTAAAATGAATAACCTCAGTACTGTATAAATAGTAGAACTGCAAAACAACACCAATCGCAAATGAGATCCGTTATACACTAGATGCCTGTACTTCTAGGGTTAAGGCCTTGTACTGTATATCAACAGAACAAATACATATCCTCGTGCAGAATATATTGAAAGTAGTGGTCTAAAGAACAGTGGAAGTACTGTCAGAAAATTACACAATTCCTTTCTTATTTAGATTGTTCATTGTAAGTGTTTTGTACACATACTATTTCAAGTGTCATGTGGTACTTCAGCTTTCTGAACATAAGAGAAAGTCTAAAGAAAAAAGTAAATTGTACATCCTTATCATGAACAAATGTGTACCTCCAAGATAGTGTTCTAGAGTAAAAAACGTAAACTATAGTACAACAAGAAATAAGGGTCAGAATGTCTTGTATAGATGAAGATAGTGTTTCTTTTTTCTGACAGGTGTATAAATGGAAGTACTGTGTTACACACAGCAGCTTATTTTGGCGACAGAAATCTCATTGATGTAAGTATTCAGATTCAAATGATAGATATATATATATAGACTGTATACTGCAGAGAGTGCCTCCTCATTCATATCTCTGATAATATAGGACCAATAAATAACAATCAAATAACAGAAAGAATTACAGATTGGATAATGTTTCTTTCTTTAAAATATATATACTGTATATATAGTACCGTAATATAGCATTGCGCAGGGCAAAGTCCTATTTGCAATAATTAATACAAATCTGAAAAACATGATGGTGTTTAGGTATTATGCATATACCGTATTTGCATTGTGGTAACACCTTGAAGGACATAACAGCAAGAAGAGCACAGTTAAGATATGACAACATTACACTTGTAAGACCTAATAAGAGTAAAATTAATGTGGTGTAATCCATTGAGATAAGAAATTTCATATTTAAAGACATGCCCAGCATGTCTTTTTACTGGGGGAGAAAACTAGAGCACCCAGAGGAAACCCACAAGATTACTAGCAAAGGTAACACATTGACAACCCAGAGATCAAAATGCCATCTTTAGTTAACCAGAGAACTTCTGCGGTAATTTCTGGAGTGGTGGCAGAAAAAGTGGTGGAGAGTTATTTTTTGATTGGATGCTGTTTTGCCCCTGACAGACTTGATGGGAGACATGTGGAGACATCATTTAGGGGGAGGGTTGAAGTGTTATGATGAAGGGAGAAATCTATCTGAACCTTTTGTACCAATTAAAGACCACCTTATAGTTCTTGGATACATTATTGTCATTTACAAGTCCTTGAGGCAATCTTTTTTTCCATTCCTATTAAGAATGCAATGTCCCTACTTAAAAGGAAAAAAAAAACAATGCAGAATTCTTGCTGTAGCCAGCTATTTCTGTAAAATCTAATAGATCATATTTGGGATCATCTCATCTATACTAACACAGGAGACCATTGAGCCAGTTACACAGAATATGTGGCACAACATTCCACCATAGTAATTCCAGCAGCTAATTAGGTCTCAGCAAACTTGGACTGTGTTAATATAGGGTTGTGACTCCTAATACTAACTTCGCAATGTTTTCCTTTTTGACATTGTGTCAGATTTAACTAATAAATACCGTTTTATGTTTTAGTTCACATTTTCCATTATAATGTTTTGAATTTGATTAAATCCATTAGTCCCTTTAGGAAATAAGTGTTATTTTTATGTATCAGTATATACAGGCATACCGTTTGTGAGACAAGTCACAATCCAAATACTGACAGCCCAGCCAAGGGGCATTCTAGTGCAATCTAGATTGCAAATAAAACTAGAATACACAATATTAACTTTGATTATGTGAAAAAGTTTTCTAGGTACTGTATGGTATTAATTCCAGAGTTCCAAGAGTTACAATACAAATATATGTATTGTGTTATTTTGTTATACTCTTGCAGTATTTTCTCCAAATTGAGTGGAGTAATAATGTAAAACTAATGGTTATTAACCTGTATTCCTTATTTTGTACATATTGTGAAGTGCAATATGCTTATAATATCAGAAGAAGTAAAGATTTATTCCATGCTGAAAACAGAAGAAAGGAAACACAACGTTTCAACTGTGGAGCCTTCTTCGGGTGTCAAAGGCTCCACAGCTGAAACATTGTTTCCTTTCTTCTCTTTTCAGCATGGAATAAACCTTTCACTTGTTCCTTTGCAGCCTATACATGTTGACACAGCTACCTATTTGAACTACTTATCCCGAGAATATGAAGAGCATTTATTTATGCATGATCAAAAGCTTCATGTTCAGTAATCCTTTTTCTAAAATGTTACATTTTAACTGAGCAAAAATGTTATGGAACAGAAATTCTGCTCCTGTCTGATGGATTATCCATTATTAATATAGGAAGATGTGTGCTGTCATATCACAGGCAGTAGACATTTTAATAGGGTAAATAAATAAAAGCATTTTATTTATAAATAAAAGCATTTTCTCTAAAATTATAAGGATACATAGTGTATGTTACACTGCGGAAGACCAGGGACTGAGGCAGACAGATTTTAGAGATGTCTACTCATTATTGTGCATATCTCGTAACTGACACAGAATGGCGAAAACCCGCCAAGGCACGTAAGTACCGTAAAGCGGTAACCACCAAACCCAAACCGCAGCAGCGTCGTAAACCCCAAATGGACGCTGTGCGTGACACAACATTTCCCTCCCCCCCTTCAGAAAATGAAACAAACACAGTTCTCCCAGACAGTGAAAAGCACTGCTGGAAGTAGAGCCAGCAAGCACCATAAAAGCAATCAAAAATCAGTAATAAAGTCATTAAGTCAGGCTGGTCTGGTCCAGACCCTGGCTGGCCGTGGAGAAGCTACCACAGGAACAGACGGCTCCACCGGGATGTCGACCTCGCCTGGAAGTCCAGCAGGGGCAGCCTCAGCCTCCATGTCAGGGTGTGTAGGCGCTGTCACTCTGCAGAGGTGGCTGGTGTGCCATCGTGACCCATCAGAGAGGCAGCAGGTGGAGGGACCCAGCTGCTCTGTGACCTGTAAAGGAGACCAAAAAGTCTCAATCCTTGATAGCGATCCCAGGCCTTCACCCTGACAGCACCCGTGCCGCCATTTCATGTGACGCTGGTGTTCAGCCACCTTGCTGTGGGTGCACACCAGAGGGGTTGGAGCTGGGTACACACAGAGCCTGTCCAGGGGCATTTGTAGCTTACGGCCGAGCATGAGGAAGGTTGGTGAGCTGCCAGTCGTGGCATGTTGTGTGGCCCTGTAGTGGAGGAGAGTGCAGAGGGGCACTGCTGAGGAGGATCAGCCCTCGGACAGGTGGGCTCTGATGCCATTTTTGAGAGTCTGGTTTAGGCATTCCACACCCCCGTTCGCCTTTGGGTTGTAGAAACAGTGCGAATATGTCGAATACCTTGGTCAGCCAAGAAAGACTCAAACACTCCAGACACAAACTGTGGCCCATTTTCCAATGCAAATATGGAACATGTTTTTTCTGGAACATACACAGTTTAAAAAAAGTTCTATTTTTTTTTGTAAGCCATTTCTGCCCGTACTCTGTGCTTTAGATTGAATTCCCAATTGCAAAGTTGTTTGAGAGACTTAATCTATTAAATATTATTAACATTATCATACACAAAGCAAAGTTCTTTCTTACAATGTGTTTACATTTAAAATATAGATCAAAGAAATGTTGGTTTACAATACAATTACTTTTAGATTAAATTGCAAGTTTTACCTAAAATCTTAGTTCCAAGGCAGGTGGGATGATGTTCAGTACAGGTTGGATTTCTGACATTCAATTAACATGATGGCTGTAAACATTTCTATACTTATAAGAAGTCTACTTGTACACACATTATGATTAAAATAACGTAAGAGTTATATAAATATATCAATGTACATTTCAGGTTCTTCTGGCATTGCAAGTAGATGTGAATTTACTGGACTATAAGGGAGCAACCCCTTTACACAGATCTAGAGATGCAGAAACAATACAGGTAATGCCTTTTTGATATTATATTTATATGTATCTAAATATGCCATAATTGTTAAGGTTGTCATCCCTCCTCTAGACGCCCTGTTCCTACCTTTTTGTATTGTTCATAGTTTCATTAGTCTCAGCTGTGTCTTATCCCCTTTTCCTTATTTAAGTCCATTGTCTCTGTAGTTCTGGGCTTAGCTTTGGACGACGGACACGTGGAAGCCCACCTACCACCGGGCACAGGCTTCATCATGGCGTCCTGACCTCTGAGTCCGGGGCTTGGAGCACCTTGCCCCGTTATGCTCTTAACTTTTCGTGTTCCTGGTCCCACTTCCCTGTTCCTGTTTTTAACCGCTTGCTTCTCAGATGGATCTCCGGGCATCTGGATATTGGACTGTGCCCTAACTACCCCTTTTGACTTCCTTTGAACTCATTAGCCAGCGCTCCCCCCATGCACCGGATCACCTCAGTCACTGCCCCCTGTCTGTCATCCCGACCTTACTTTGCTGTGCCTTCCCTGATGTCATTCTCCAGACACTTCCGGATTATACCGTCATGCATAGGGTCTTTAACAACGCATTCCATGGGAGTCTGACCCTGCTCCTGTGACAATTATAATGTAATGCCGAAACATTGTGTTTCCTTTCTTCTCTTTTCAACATGGAATAAACCTATTACTTTGCAGCCTACTATCCTTTGCAGCCTAAGCATGCTGACACAGCTACCCACCTGAACTACTTCAGCCTACTTCTGCTGCGACTCACTATGCCTTCCTTTAAATCTTTTTCTAGATTTCCTTCTCTTCCTCCCTGGGCTACTTGCCCCCCTCTTATACTAAACCAGCATTCCATCTCTTCACAGTGATTTGTTCCAAGACCAGTGTATCTACAGTAAGTATGTCCTTATAATGTAATGTATGACATTGGTACAGTGCCTTTCATATGGACTTCTTAACCATATTTTCCTAAACTTCTAAAGTTTAACATATAATATAATTTGAACATTTCAAAACACAATAAATTATTTGCATTCACTATTACTAAAACCTTAGATAAAAAGGCTTAAATTGCTATATTAATATACATTTTTTATTAACATTGAGACAAAAAATATGATTATGAGCAGCATTACCTATTTTACCTTGGAATCTGGTATTCCTACCAAAGTTCATTGTCTTTGAGTTACTTGTATACTGTTTAAGTTGCCTATTATTGCATCTGTTGCAAAATGCACAATGACATTTACAGTGGAGACACAGAAAGAAAACTTAAAAAATGTCCATTTCAGGGAACATAAGAGCTCCCCATTTTATGTACTTCTCCCAGCCATGATCATATTATCGTTCACCATGATCACATTTCTCCAAATTTCTTCCATCATTTACAGCGTTCTGTTTTCCACATCTAGATTTGTATCTCCGTAGTACCATTTAAATATTTGCTTACATAGCCTCACATTCTTTTCTTTATCCTTCATACCCACTCCCACTGCTCTTTTCTTGACTTCCACCCATAAGCTTAAGAACACTCTGCTATAAAAACTGTTTTTTCTTAATTCCATTTGCTTTTCATTATGGAATTTACTTCTATTTTTTTCTCTGCCGCTAAAACACTCACTTTAACTTCTACCATTACAATTATCCTTTGCATCCATTGCAGAATGCTTGCTTCTTGGATGTTCATACTGTATAACCGTGTAATGCTGTGTGTTTAGTTTAGTTATCTAGTCAAGTCCAACTATTCATGACCTCATGGACTTTAGCATACCAGACCTGTCTATCAACAACTTCTTCTCTGTGATCTTGCAAATTCATATTCAATACTTCAGTAATACTATCTATCCATCTTAACCTCTGCCACCCCCTTCTTATCCCTTCAATCTTTCCCAACATCTGAGTCTTTTCCAGTGAATCCTGTCTTCACATTATGTGGCCAAAGTATTTGAGTTTTAGTTTTACTATCAATCCTTCCAATGAACAATCTGTTTATTCCCTTGAGTACTGACTGATTTGATCTTCGTGCATTCCAAGGAACTTTCATTAATTTTCTCCAACTCCACAGCTCAAAAGCATTGATTTTCTGATGCACAGCCTTACTTACATCCATATGTTACTACAGGGAAGACCATAGCTTTCACTATACGGATCTTTGTTGTAATATCTTTGCACTTTAATATCTTACCCAGATTTGCCATAGCTTTCCTCCCAAGAAGCAAGCTTCTTTTGATTTCATGACTACAATCACCATCTGCTGAGATCCTTGAGCCCAAGAAAATAAAACCTGTCACTACCTCCACTTCTTCTCCATCTGTTTGCAAAGGATTAATATGGCCCATTGATATAATCTTCATTTTTTTATGTTAAGCAGCAGGCCAGCTTTTGCCCTTTTTTCTTTTACCTTCATCAACAGACTCTTCAACTTCTCCTCACTTTTGGCCATCAGAGTGGCATCATCCCCATATCTCAGGTTGTTAATTTTTCTCCCTACAATTTTGCTTCCAGCATCTGATTAATCTAACCCGGCAATTCGCATAATTTATTCAGCATATAAATTGAACAAATAGGGTGACAATATACAGCCTTGTCGCACTCCTTTTGCAATCTTAAACCAGTCGGTTTCTCCATATTCGGTTTTCACTGTTGCTTCTTGGTCTACAAACATATTCCTCAATAGACAAACAAGGTGCGTCGGTATCCCCATTTCTTTAAGAATTTGCCACAGATTATTATGGTCCACACAGTCAAACGCTTTGGAGTAATTGATAAAGCAGAACTCCCTTGCTTTCTCCAATATCCAGCAGATGTTAACAATATGATCTCTGGTGCCTCTGTCTCTCCTAAAACCTGCTTGTACATCTGGCAGTCCTGGGTCCATACAGTATATTGTGTAGCTTCCAGGATCTTAAACATTACCTTGCTCCTTGCATTACACTTGCTGTAGTGTAATGCAACAGTTTGTCCTTTTCTATTTTTGAGGTTATAAGTGTCCCGAACTATGCAATAATCCCCTTAGTTTTCTTTTGTATATTTTCTGAGCAGTTTTACACTGATAAACTGACCGTAATCCAGATAGTATGTGTTACCTCCTGTTTAGGTCAGGATCTGTTGCCCTGCTTTAGGCTGTCCCCAACATATAGTCAGAGCTAGATGACATTTTTAAATGGTTTTCAATCCAATACTTAAGAAATGAAACTAAGAAATATGTAAATCCATCCAGTTACTCTCCACAAAAAAGAGTTCAGGGAGGGCACAATCCCCATGTTTTCCCCATGCCTACCAAGTCTACCTCCTGTCATTTTGTGAGTTTCTAGATTCTGTTCCTTATTCCATCTGTGAAAAACCCCTGCCTCGGGCAGAGTTGCTTAGGGACCTTTGTGCACAAAAACGTTCCACTTCAGCACAGATTAAGAAGATTCAAGCTCTCCTCGCACTTTCAGGAAAAAAAAAGATAAAAACATCTACTGTATATCTCTCTGAGCTTTAGATTTTCTTTTCTAAAGCACAGCCAGAGAGCTAAGCTGTATACTGGCTTCACAAAATAAAAGTGTCTTTTCAAAAAGAAACTCTTCCAAATTATTTTTGGAAGTCTCGCCAAGAACAATATTCATGAGCTCATTGGTCAATCAACACCTTGCTCCCTTCTCCTGTTTCTAACCAGCAGAGATAAGCAACCCAGTGAAAGTTTCTGCTTCCTGGCTTTTTAATGTTATCCGACCAATTGTCTTCCACCAATTAATCAGGTGACTGAGGATGACATGTCATTCCCCAGTGTGGAACTGCTATCTTTTCTGAACTATTACACATCCAAAAAAATTATCCTTAATCATCTCTTTTGATAAAAAAAAAATGTATCCGAGCAAATTCATCTCTAGACAGAATAATTATCTTTACAATACGAAAGATAGTGATGTCCTTGTCCTAATGTGACAGTATAAAGATTATATATTTTTTAAAATTCTGAACGAATGTATAGGTAGAAAAGTTTGAGTGTCATCATTATTAGTTGTCTTTGATTTAATTCAAATGGGCCATATTTGACCAATTCTAAGTACACATTTTAAGGAAGACAAAAATATAATTATAATGTGGCAACCCTATTATTTTATAATAAATAATTATTATTAGTTGCTTACACTTATATAGCGCTTGTCTATACACTCCAATCAAAGCACTTTACAGGTAATGGGGACTCCCCTCCACCACCAATGTGTAGCATCCACCTGGAGTATGCTCTGGCAGCCATAGTGCACCAGTATGCTCACCACACGCCAGCTATCAGTGGGGAGGAGAACAAAGTGATGAAGCCAATTCATAGATAAGGATTACTGGGAGGTCAAGATTAGTCAAGGCCCTGGGATTTTTTAAAAGAGTAAGTGTTATATCACACACTATCCCCTTAAGAAAGCGTAGATCTCCTCTTAGCACCTTGCCACTCACCTGTCCAGTATCGTCACCACATAACCCTGCACTTCACTGTTTCAGGAAGTCCGGTTTCTTCAATCCCTGCTCAGTATTTTGGAAGCTGTCCTTCCATATACTTGGTGTACTTTATTTGTCTGTTGTTTTCCTGGTTTCGACTAGTCTTTCTCCTTGTGACCTGTTTTCTGGATTGCATGTTTGGCTCAGTTCCCTTATCTACTGGTTTTCGGAAACTCGGATTTACGTATTTCTGGTTTACAAATTAGGATTGTTTTTTGGACTCGGCATTATATTCTGCACAGGATTTCCCTTTACTTTCCTGGCAACCGTAACAGTTAGGACCTCGGTTTTAAGTCTCATCTGAAGGACAGCGGTTATTTAGTGTCCCCGGCACTATACTGGAGTATTAGGCCCCACACAGACTGCAGGGTGAGCGCCCTCTGCTGGCCCCACTAACACCTCTTACAGCTGCAACCTTAGTTTTTCCCAAGAGGTCTCCCTTCCAAGTATTGGCCAAGCTCACACCTGCTGAGCTTCAGTGGGCTGCCAGCTGTGAGTTGCAGGGTGATGTGGCTGCTGGAATAAAGTGGTTGACACCTTCTCAATGATGCACTATACAGTATTTTGTATTCAACTTACAGAGAGGAAAATTAATAATAAAAATGTGTTGTACCCGATTGCTTCAACACTTACAAGTAAAGTCATAATCTCCAAGATTTCACCGTTTCAAGGTTAGTTTCCGATTATTAAATATTTTAATGAGAAGATTTTCTTGAAAAGAGAGGATAAAAGATGTAATTTCTGTCAAAACTATGTAATTTCAAAGAGTTTATTTTCCCTCATATGCTGTAAATAACTTGTCTATCTCTAGACGCTTAGTCGCTTTGAGAAAAAGGAACTGAAACTTCACCCTGGACAGCATGTTAGTTCATTGCTGAGCATAAGTATTTTGCATTTTGACAAATCTAGAGACACAAATTAGCTTAGTAAGTTTAGTAAGTGGGAGGTAACAGAGTTCCCCATGTAAAGTCTTGCAAACAGTCTCTTAATGCTTGAACAGAGACAAAGACCCCCTGCCTTTACACAGTTTTAAGTACAGTATATGACTGCTGTTCTATATTGTTGTTATTACAGTAAGTGACTGGATCGCTTAAGAGAGAATTTTAAAATACAAACCACAGTCAAATTAAACTCTTGTAGCCTTACATGTGCACAATACAAACTGGTGCAAATCCGCTGATACTCATGTTTTCTGGTATCAGTGTGGTTGGCCCGTTCACAATCCTATCCAGTCTCAAAGGACATTGTGTACCCTGCTATGGCTTTTCTTCAATTATTTATCATTTTTCCATTCTGGATTCATAGCAGGCTAAGGCCTAACTTATCCAACTCTATAACATTTGAACAAAAGATTAGATGAATTCTGTACCTTTATTATCCTAATGATGAGATAAAGTGTATTGTGTCATGTGAGATATATTCAACTTTAAGTACACAGTCACAAATAATTTCAGTCCCTTTGTATTTTACTTATGCTCAGAATATTGTATTGTTCAATGTGAGGTTGTTGAATTGTATAATATGCATGATTTTGTAATAGCTAATGTTTTTAACTTTTTATTTTCATAGAAAACAAACGTTATGCACATATGTATGGTGTCTAACCAGACAGACACAGGCATAGGGCATAGTGGTAAGCACTATTTTATGCTCTGATTCTGATGCCTGGCTCTACTTGTACAGTTTATTTGCTTGCTACTCTCCATTATTAAATGCTATAAGAAACTTCTGCATTTTGTTTTCAATTTGACTTGAGTAATTCAAGAGAAAAAAGAGGGGAAAAAGCAACAGCACACACAAAATAAAATATCTGAGATATTGCAAGTTAATTTGCTATAATATCTCAAATAGTGAGGGATGGTGATATTTGCACTCACCTTTCAAATTACAGATGTTCAGCCATTATTGTGCATACTATGAAAGCCACATTGCATATGTTGCTGATGATGGGACTGCTTTCCAAGAGTCTTGTACCCAGGGATATACAGTAAATGTTAAACATGGCATTTTCTCTCAAATTATCCTCACAAGAAGCAATTAGAAAGCAGCCATTGAAGACTTCCAAAACTTAGTCAGATGTAGTTTGGATTTACAAACTTGCCTTTACTTCTACTGTGTTCAAGCACTCTGGAAGTGTCGATTGATCGCAGCAAAGACTGAACTTGACCTTCCTACAGTAGGTACACAAACAGAAGACTCTGTTTATTAGATTCCTAAGAAACACACAAAATCAGCTCACCTAGTGAGATCACAGATCACTGATGTTATTACTTCACCATATGGGTAAAAATGAAATCTAAAATCCCAGTTTGTCAAGGTCATGACCTCCCACGTATCCCATGTATTTCTACCACAAGATCAATATTGTTATTTTGTGAACAGCTAAAATTGGCAGGCACTGATTGTTGCATTTAATTGTGTTGGGTTTAGTAAAGGGTATTGTAAGTTTTTTGCAAAATGGTATCAAACTAAAGTTATGTTAGATTTCTGAAGAGATTGTGATGGGTTAGTGTTTCAATTCGTACATTTACCAAACTCTACTGTACCAGCAAAGCCCATTTGATCTTCTAATAGACCAAAAGCCAAAATCCTGAGGAAGCTTTTGTTTAGCTTGTTTTTTTTTAATTGCAAACTAATAAGAAAAATGTTATCCATTTCTGGGCAGATGTTCTTCTAATATAGAACTTAAATTCAAATACAGTAGAAAGGCCTTTACTGTTTTTCAACTCTTCATTTTCAAGATCAATTGAGTGTGCCTTAAATCAAGAAGGTCTGAGAAAGAAAGAAGATGTTTGGAATATCAATGCTGTTTTGGAATTCTATATTTATGTTACTACACATATAAATACTGTATGTTATATAGGTTATATATACATTTTATGTTACTCTAACTCTGAAAATAAAGACAATCTGACTTTCTTTCAGTTTCTGATAGATCGGGGAGCTGACATAAACAGAAAAGATGATGATGGTAATACTCCAATACATGTTGTATGCTATGGAGAACCAGGCAAGGACACTAACTTGGATTGTGTAAGACTTCTGGTAAGCTATTACAAGTAATTCTGAGGAAACTCAACTTTACTTTAATCAGTGTGATAAGAAATTGACTTGATCAATCTGCCCTTCTGTCCAAGTGCAGAATAATGTCATGCATAAGTGAAATCAATTTTCAAGAGTCCATTTTATAATACAGCCAGACATATAGAGGTGTTTCATTTTTCCAAATTTCAAAAAGGTCGTCCACCCATACTTCAGATAACAACTAGTCAACAACAACAAAAAAAGATAAGTTGTTCATATTGTATTGTGTGTTGGACTTTATACTGTACCAATGTGGATTATAACCATTCCACATTGTATACAATTTTCCCAGAATACCATTTCTCAATGACAGGGTCAAACAATACAGTCAAACAAATGGCTTATTGAGTGGTTCCACTGTATTTACAGAGCTATCCAGTTTGGAGAGCCCCAGGTATGCTCTCACATGTACTGAACTGTATGTTCTCTGAAACTACTTTCCGGTAGAAATTTTATCACAAAACAGACCCAAGTCATGTGATAGATTGATTAAGAATTCAGTTGTAGTCGTCAAAGAGTAGAAATCTTTCCTGCAATTTCTTGCAACTGTAATATACAAATCCAGGATATGTACTATTCAGAGATAACTTAATTTTATTCTTTATTTCAACTGAGAAATGCATTCAATCCAATTAAGTCACCTTACATCTCACTTTAGGTTTCTATACATTTTCAGAAATATCTGTCAATACTGTATTCATTATGACAATATGTTTTTTTCTGTTAATAAAAATAATAATGTCCCTTAAAACTATCCTAATTCAATCCTGGTTTTAATTTACTTGTTTGGTTCTGGTATCTCTCACATGCTTAGTGTGTGATCTGTTGGTTTTAGCACTAATAAGGGTCTTTTCTTGTACAACTATGCTCACTTTTTGCATGTTTTTTTTTTATGCACAATGGATTTATGTACATTGCTTGCAAAATATAAAGACACATTTAGGCCTCAGCTGATCTGTGTTTTTTAAACTAAACTTAAATAGTTTTCTATATGTTATGTTCCTTACATTTTACAACTTCTCTTCATGTCTCAAGATACATAAAAACATGAAACTGAAATGAACAAGCATAACTTCAAATATAATACACTGTAGACATTTTACTTGAAGAGCTACAGAAAGATTTTCCATAATGCCTACAGTACATATCCATTGTTGAAGAATATAAATGTTAAAGTTTGTGGTAAAATGCAGTGGGCTTCTCAGTTTTAAAAAGAAAGTAGGGAGTACATGAAAGGGAAACCAAATTATATTTCTGCCCAGTAAAAAGTGGAAATGCTGATATTCATCCATAGAAATGACTTGACTTTCAGGCTACCTAAACAAAAATAAAATTCTAAACTGCTAGTATTTTAAGCTATGTGGTGTTGTATAGGCTTCACCATTTGAATTAAGGGTGAAATTTAGGAAGGCCAGAGTGTTCAAAACCAAAGGGGGACTTAGCCAGGACAAAGAGGTCAACACCTCTATTCTTTAAAAAAAAGTGTCATGGGATCATTAGTAACCAATTGGTCAAAACCATAATTAGTATGTTTGACTGAACCCACTGAGCAGTTATGACCTGATCTGATGGCTCTGGTAAAGAGAAATTCTCATCAAACTACTTCTGATTGTGATTTACTTTTTGTTTAGCTTTCTCACACAACTAAACCACCAAAGCCAAACAAGAAAGGTTTGTTTCCTATCCACTGTGCTGCAATCCAAGGCAGAACGGATGTAATTAAGCTCCTAATGCAGTTTGGTAGTGATGGACAATTCCAAAGGAATATTGTGCATACCAAGACAAGGAACTCCCCAAGCCTTCTGTACCTGTCAGTTGCAAATGGCCATTTACAATGTGCGGAATGGTAAGGTACTTTTTTAATCCTTAATAAGGTGACACTCACCTCTCATTGCTGCGTAGGTGTATGTCTGCAGATAACTGCAAGGAAATTGCTTTGCTTCAAAATATAAAGAGGTATCATTTTAAAAAAAACTCTATTGAGAAATACAGTGGAATTCATTATGAAATCTAAATATTTTTTAAAATAATAGTGAAATACAAAGATCCTAGGGCTGTCTACAAAAGCCATTCTCTAATGTTAAAATATTTTGATATTTTCAGAGCTATTGCATGCTGCCTTAACAGCATATTAAAGGAGCCCCTGTCTTGTGGGTCAGCTTACTTACAGCAAAATTACAGCTACATCAAATTGCAGGAACAATTGCACTAGATTACAATAATGATGATCATTAATTTATAAATAACATTCAATTAGGCTATATATTACTTTTATGTAGTGCTTTTTGTCCCAACAGTTCACAAAGTGTGTTACATATGGTAGGGGCCCCACATCACTCACCAAGTGCAACACCCTCCTGATGCACATCAGATATTATTTGCTATTATACTATACGGTATGATGTGCCAACAGCAGATCACTTAGAGAAGTGAGTAATGACTTCAACAAAGGAATTAAGGCAGAGCGTCAGAAAGTGCAGTTTATACAGTATAAGCCCAGCGAGGATTTTGGTGTTATATTAAGGTTAACACCCCTATTCTTTTGAAAAGGGATCTTTAGTGAACAAGTAGTCAGAATCTTGTTATCATTTCATCTGAAGAACGGTACCTACTACAGCACAATTTTGCCTAGTCTAGTTTTGGCTTTTTTTTTCATTTCTGGTCCAGAGGGTAGGACACGTACTGGTTGATTAGCACCACTTGCAGTGGAGACCTGGTTTTCCTTGACATTCTCCCACTGACCAGATCTACGTTTGTGTGGATTGTTCCAGAAAGGTGGGGATGAGACCACATAATTATCAGCAGTTAATGTAATTCTGCATGAGATTAGGGCAGCTGTTCAGTTGCTTCCTATTTTTTTTCATCCTTCAACAACTGATTATGAACCCTTGAGTTTGTCTGACTTTTATATGTCAGAGGTGTATAACAATGACAAGGGCCATACCTCTTTTAATGCCTCTTTTGTCAAACTTCTACACTGCATGCTGAAGAACAGCAATATGCTCATTGTTTTTCTGCAGTATCTGGGAATGATGGGATATCCCACTGTATCTGCTGTGCTATGCTGACTACTTTGGATCACTTTTATGTTGCACATCTTTGTCTACAAACAGCACTGTATACTGTATATACTGATGGAAAAAAGAAACACAACATTTTCTGGAATGAGAATACTATAGTTATAGTTATGCACAGCTTGTGCAGTGAGGCACTGCAACTTGCCAATCATACGAAAGTTTGTGAGATGCACTTTTACCCAACGAGGTCCAGGTGGAACAATGCCTGATCAGGTCACCTTTAAAAAGGCCTTAATTCAAAGCTTAGGTCACTGCAAGAAAAAGGCCATGCTTAGTCAGATTTCTGTTTACTCCATAATGCCTCGAATGTCACCAGAAGCAAGGGAGAGGGCCATTGGCATGCCGCAGGCAGGCATGTCATGTGCCAACGTTCCCAGACACTATGGACTAAACCGCTACACTGTGTCCCGACTGCAGAGAAGGTTCAGCAGACCAGCAGGACAGATGACAGTCCAAGATCCGGTCACCCTCGAATGACCACATCAGAGCAGAACCGAAACATCAGACTGGTCCATCTGAGAGATTGTTTCAGATCTGCCACCCGTACTGCTGTTGAAACTGTCAGCAGACACAATGCCGTTATCAGTGACAGGACAGTGAGGCTCCATGCTGCTGATCTTCGAGCAAGGTGACCTGTCAGAGGCCCTCTGCTCACACCTCCTATACGTCACACCCGACTGGCTTGGGCCAGACTGAGGCTACGATAGATTTGACAGCTGTGGCATCTGGTCCTCTTCAGGGATGAGTCACTCTTCACCCTGTTTGTTGCAGATGGGAGGGCTAGAATGTGGAGGAGGAGGTGTTACGTTTCTTTTTTCCATCAGTATATATATATTGATGCTCAAAATAAAGGCAACATTCAAGTCTGATTTAATCAAACATTATGAGCAGAAATAAAAAAAATAAATAAAGTATAAATCAAAGGACCATTTTTAACCTCTCTGAGCATTAACACATCTTGACAATTTTAAAGCACTGACCTGATCTACCTCTGGATATACTGTAGTAGGATGTTAGCCTTCCTTTATAGCAGCAGCTGCCAAAGACTTGAAGTGCTCATTTTTTTATGTCATTGACAAGTCGGTATCACAGATATTCTGTTGGACTGAAGTCATGGTTAAAAGCTAGTCACAGTGAGAGCTCAGCATTGTTCTCTTGAAGTCATGCCATTGTAGTCCTAGCACTGTGTGATGCTGTATTGGACTTAATAATTCTAGAATCCCAGATTTTTGGCTTGTAAAAATGGGAAATGTGTTTATCAATGAATTGCTCAGCACTAAAGTCATCTTCGAATTGCAGCAAAGAAGTTCTTGTATTAAAGGATAGTCCTCCATTCATCAATACATTTCAACACCATCCCCACCCAACAGTTATCACTTCCTAAGCATAATGCTAAACTTGTCTGCTCACACCATATTCGTCAGAAAAAAATGGAATTCTTCAGTGCATAAAATACTCTAGTATTCTCTCTGCCACCACCACAATGTTCTCTGGACAATAGAAGATGCTGATTTTCTCTCTTAGCTGTCAACATGTTACAACTGAGTGGTCTCTAAATATGCAGACTATTGTCAAGCAGACTGTGTGCTGCACTCATTCTGATGGTGTGTTGGTTATTTATTCCTAGAATTTCCTAAAATGTCTTGTGTAGCTTGCTAAATGGATGAGACAGATGTACTGTACTGGTCTTGGACTGGTTTGGTGACCTTTTTTTCCAGGATGTTGCCTGTCTCTCATTGAGCTAATTTCCCAATTTTAACTAGTTGGATGATTGTTGAAGCAGAAAATTTAATTCCCCAGGCTATTTCTCTCAAAGACAGACCACCATCAACAATGTTGATAGTATCGAGGCAATCTTAATTACTTAAATGGGTATGGTCATATCTTTCACTGTTCCAGAATGAATTAAATTATATCTTTTGAATATATGTAGTGTATATACAGTATATATAGAGAGATTCTTATTCATTGCATTTTGGCATTTTCTTCTCAACTCAAATAATTACATGAATTAATTTGAGTTGTGTATGTTATTATTCTAATAATATTACTAAAAAATCTGTTAAACTGTGTAATTACTATTTAAAATGTAAATAACATTATATACAGTGCCTTGCGAAAGTATTCGGCCCCCTTGAACTTTTCAACCTTTTGCCAC